CGTCTGACGACGAGTTTCCATGACTTTATAATAAAGTACACCCTCCATGCGCCACCGAATAAATTGCAATCTTCAAAGTATGTTCCATGTCGGCGTCAATAGACTGGATTGGCAGGGATCTACCTACTACTGTTACGCTTGGATCAGTTGTCAGTCAATTCCCCACAAAAAGTCGTTTTGCTGCTGGCGGGCATGCAATGAATGGCATGTGTTCACACGTTGACATGGGATATATTCAGTCAACACATGTGGAGGGACCCAACTTCCAAGTTTTCGAATTTTCCAGTTTGGTGGTGCAAAAGCTTGGTGTAAACGCTGTCTGAGTGTCTCCTAAGTGAGCTGCTGCAAGCTCTCGTTGCGTTGTCCTTGAGTCTTCATCCAGTAGAGCTTGCAATTCCGCATTTGCAAACACTCGAGACTGTTGTCCGCGACGCGGCGGGTCACTAAGATCGAAATCATCACTCCTGAAACGCTTGTACCACTTCTTCCACGCTTCATACGACACAATGTCGTTTCCAAGAACGCCGCAAATGGACTGGCGTGCTATAGAAGCACTTGTTCCTTGCTGTTAGAATGTGCTGGTTACCAGTTGCCATTGAAAACTCCGCTATTCCTAGAAGTCATGCAACTCACGTAGACTTGTCGTTTGCTGTTCTGAAACCTTGCGTCCGATTCTCTCAAAACCACAAAAACGCTGATTTTTTTTCATTTTAAGCATACTTTTAAACTTAAAGTAGAAATCTATAACGACTAAGGCATGCGCTCAAAAGAACATCAGTACGTGTGGTACTCACGTCTTCCATGAGTTCTTCAATTGCCACCCAGAAATCGATTCTGCGTTGGACCTTGAGCCAGTCCTCGGCAAGCCTGGAAGCCGCCTCGCTGGAGAGTCCGTTCATGGCCGCGGCTGCAGGCGAAGTCTGAAGGGCGGGTTTTCGTCTGTCGGCGAGGTCGGATTTGTAACGACGCAGTTTCATTGTTCTCACGGGCTGCGGACTTGTGGCGCGTTGGTGCTCTGTCGCCGTGGTGATTGGTCGACTCAAATGTTGCTGCTGCTGCAGTTGACCACGGTTCGAGGTCATTCGACGGACGAGATTGCCGCTTCTGACCTCCTGTAAGTTTCCGTATACCTAAGAGCCAAAATTTTTTTTTCAAAACCCTTCCTATTTTTACTTTTGCATCAATTTCCCATCATAATTTATACCAATACATTAAATTGTTCCAAGAGCATTAGTCCGAGAGCGTAATACGCATTTATTACACGATTTCATAAGTGTTTATTACTGCATGGATTAAAAATCTAACGTAACTGTCCAAATAAATCGTTAAATAAATGCAATCCGATTATTTAACTGTTCCATTTTCTACTGTGTACGTTTGTGTAAAACATCATTCAAAATGGCCGATGTTCATCTGCCCCGCAGAAATCCAATAAAAGGACCAAGATTTTGTTAGTGTGAAGTGGGAAAAGAAAGTCGTGTTTTGTCTTCACTCTGATTGGACGAATTCACCACTGCGTGTGGGGACGAGATATTTTATTGGATAACCAGAATTGGATGAACGAGACACCTGATTGGATAAACTCTCTCCATTATTGGCCGCATTTTGTGCACGTTCCTGTGTACTGGGTAAAAAGGTTTCAACCTAATCTAAACTTTCAAGGTAGTTAGCTCCTCAAGAATGCTCACTGTCACCAAAATGCAATTGGTCAGCGGTATCAATGACATTATTCGCTGTCAGTTTTCACTGCAGCAGTGCAACCACGGTGCTTACCTCAATTGAGAGTGCGTAATGCGCCAATTGTTTGAGTGTCTCTCGTGCCAGTGGCAACTGGAAGCAGCGGGTGTGGTCGAAAGTGCAGCGTTGAGTGCGCTCGTACTCCTGACCTCCCGGGTCTGTTGTGGTGTAGCCTGCGAAGCAGTCGGGTTTGGGTAGGACCACGACCGGTTCTTCGTGGCCCAGCATTTGATAGTGACACAGAATCTTTCTGCTGAAGGAATTCGGTATCCCCGTGGCCTCCCGAATCGTGACTTTCACCTCCAACACATTTCTGAATGAAGAAGAAAGTCTTCAGTACCTGACCCTTGCGTCTACAAATTAAGCTCAGATGTGGTGATACTAATTAATCAAGGCGGAGGGTAGTTGGCTGGTTTTCAAATGTGGCAAAATCGAGGACAACGTGGTTCGAAATGACTGCACGGTTGTTGGATTTTCAGTGAACTTCATCAGTCACCTGCCCCACACTCTGATTTCCATCTAATAAAGCGAAACGACGAACATTTAGCTGAAATGGGCATTCTCAAGTATGCAAATGGTTCATCAATAAAGTCAATTACTGAGCCGAAAATTGTTGTGTGAATTTGCACAACCTCGCGATGACCAAAGTCGACGCAAATTTATAACAGTGCTACGTTCGAGTAGTTGTTCATGTAAATAAAGATTTCACAATGTTTTAGTGCCTGTAAATGGCATTAAAGAAAACCCTCCAGACATTTCCTCGTGTTTGGCTAAACCACTTCACCGTGCCGCGCGACATACAATCAATCGGTTCTAGAGCAGAAATCAGGCAGAAAGGTGATATTAAGTTGACCACGTACCCGCCAAAATCACTTTGTTCTCGGTCGATTGGATCGGGGACGTCCAGTAGCTCGTCTGGTTGTCGATCCTCTGAGCGAATAGCTGTCAGGAGTTCAACCAATACGCGTCCGAAGATCTTGGTTAACAAAACGGAAAAAAGCAACTATTGGTGGGGAGCCAGTCGCGTGATGATTGGACACACACGTTTATCGATCGCACACCAAATCCCATTGGCTAAATTCTACCCAATACTATTGATCAATATCATCTTTCAGCCCATTAAGTAAATTAATGCTTCCTACTGGGTCCAGTCTTAGCACATTCAAGGATCATGCGAAATAAACAGGTGGGCCCTGACGCGGAATCATTTACGAACATAAAATTTAGATAAATTTAGTGAAACTTCATTAAATTTTAAGTTAGGGTTGAAACATGCATTTTTACCTCGCCTTGTGGGTTGAGAATGGGAACGGAGTAGGAAAATTCGCTGACGAAGAGGAGACAACGGAAGTACAAGTTGGCGACGCCGATCAATACTAGGTCGGCATTTTGCTGATGTGATCCTGTCGGCCACAGAGGCAACCGCTAGAAAGTAAAAATGGGGTTTAACTGTTCAACGCTAGGAATCACTTTCAACTGCAGTTACTGCAATGGTTTGAGTGTGAGACGTCCGGCGTTCCAGAGGAAATTTAAGCACCAAAATTTACTAATAAAAATCCTTATCGACTTAGAGGATGGAAGAATCATCGTTAATAGATGTTGTGTTAATCGGAAAAATGTTAATCAAACCGGCAAACTTGTTTTTTATTAATCACACACTCTGCAGTGGGTTTCCGCTGTGGTGAGTCGTGTTGAAGCACGTTCTTCCACTCTGTTGCCGCATTTTCCGACACGCCGCACCCTTCCCACAGTGTGCCCGTCAGTCATCCAGGAGCCGTCTGCTCAACCACCTCCGCACCCCTAGTCATCTGGCAATTCAGTTATTTGTACACCCACTGCTTCACCAAAAGTGTTTGGCCAACAACATCATTACCCATGAATGGCCTTGAATAAACACGACAACACAACACGATGGTGGTGGTGGTGGTGAAAATGCGCTAATGATACGGGACATTGCCATGCCGATGGAGCAGCAAACGAACGAGGCCATGTTTCGATAACCAAATTTTTCCTGGGTGATTCTGGTCGTATGGGGGTCCTCTTAACACAATGCATCGCCTTCCAATCAAGTCAACATCGAATTGGAGAATTTTAAACAGTGATTTTTCATTAGCAACTGAAAAGCACCGGAGTTCAAAGTCCTGCTGCTGAATGTCGAAAAGTTGGCGAGTAATCACCCTTAGTTTCATCAAATCCGAAGTCTTGGTGACAATTAACTGCACTTTGGTCGACATAATTACTGTTATTTGTGAAATTCGGAACTTTAAATGATCCGAAGAAGCGTCTCATACTCTCAATAATCACACCAAATGCCACGTCAATTGGGATTGAGAAGTCACAAAAATATTTCAAAATAGATTGATATCAAAAACCCCGAGTAGGCCATAATATTTTCAACTCTGTTAAAAACGAGCGAACGTCCATCATAAAAAAGGTGTTATCGTACAGCATCAATGGTAGGTTTAACGAAGGCTAGAAATTTAGTGAACAAACCAACCTTTGCGTCGTTTGCTTGGTTTGGTGTGGAACTGGAAGAGGACTCGGCGTCGACTTTGCTGCCCCTGTTCGACTCCAGATCCCTCAGATTGTCCTGCATTCGAGCCAGACTCATCGATCTTACCCGAACGCCGCCGCTGTGAAGTTCAATGACAGGTTCACACTGAAGCTGGCGACTTTTCTGAAATGCACAACGTTGATTGGACAATCTTTAAGACACGACAAGTGACATAGAGGCCTGGCTTGAGTAGCTATGGTGATAGTTTAATTCTCAGCTTATCACGTTGTGCTGTGAACTGAAAACAGAGATCGGACCCATGAAACAATCAGATCACACTTCCCACTATTGAAGATAGCCGTTGTTTAAATGAGGCTTAACTGAGGCGCGTGTATCGTTGCGGTCAGCTTAAGTTACCGCGCAACTTTTAAGCTTAAATTACGCTACACTTGTGTCGTTTCCTGTTTCATAATAGATTCGTCTCTAAATTGATTATTACTTTCTAGCGGTGAAAAGCTACACTTGGTAGAACATCTGCTGAGTGGCGTCCGATCATTTTAAACAAAAAAACCCTCCACACCCACTGTTTTACGCGTGAATCATCAAGCCTAGCAGAAAAAGGCCCCCGAGTGGCCAAAACGAACCCGTTTCGCTTGATTCAGGCAGTGGATTGGCACTTGTAGCGAGACGAGGTACTTTGTGTTGCTGCGTTGCTCGCTGGCCAGGGCGTTTGCACGTTCAGCTAGCAAATTTGCTTGGATCAACTTTTCTCGAATCTCTTCAAAGTCCGCGGCCGAGTCACTGGAGGTAGGCAAAATTTGGATGACGCATTTGTGTTACTAGGCAACATCCATGTAATCAAATTTTTTTGGCCCACGATCTTAGTGTGATGGTAAAAGAGTAGGACAGGAAGCACAATTGATGTCGACATTGATCTCAGTAACTCAAAGCAGGGATAACTGGGTAGGCAACGAAGGTGCGGGAGTTGGCATCGAAACCACGGTTTCTTTAAACTCATTAGAACTGTGGCTAACAAAAAATCGCAGTTACCTTTTGAACAGGCAGGTAATTTGTCTCGCTCAAAGCTGACAAGAAATAATCGAATTTAATTGTTTTGAACATTACTAATTGTGGATAGAAATGGGCACACAATCATGATGTCGTGGCCGCAGCCAATAGTAATTGAGCCCGCTCGTTATTGGCCGAAATTGTATCAAGTGACTCCAAAGATATTGGGAGTCTGATTGAGTGCGTGTGTTGACTTTTAAGCTGAGTAAATTCGATTTTTTCTTCAATAAAACTATCTAAAGTCAGTACCCCAGTGTAACGCTTATACAGATTGCCCCCTGCTTCATCTGGGGATGTAGGACTACCATAATAGAGACTAGCAATTCACCATGGAGAGCTTTGAAGGTTCTGAGACTGGACATGATTGGGAGGCGCCTGTGGGCTTGTTGGAAACTGCTGTACATGCCTCCCGCCCACCAAGACTGCGGACCCATTGGCGTGATTGTCTAGAAACCGCTGGGCTGTTGTGCTGGAGGTGGTAGAGGAAAAGGGACTTCTGCGAAGACGACGAGGACTCGACATCTCATCTTTAACGCAGCAATGAGTAAATATGAAACCTCCAGCGTTACTTAATCTTGCAAAATTCGCCTCATAAACTCCCCAACCCTATTCTGTTCAAGATTCCGCATTGGATTTTATTGGTGGTAGCAAAATTTGCGCTGCAGCATTTGCTAGTCAAAAAGTACTCGACTAGATGGGAACACGGATGCGTATCACACGCAATTTATTGCTCAAGTCGTGACAACCTTCTCACCAGGGCGTCTCCTACGCTGAGCCTACGCGCGGTGACTAACCGCCTCAAATCAGAAGCCTAGTGAGCGCACACGCATGCACGCACGCACACGCGTGCACTTGAGGCCTCATCACCGATCGATAACAGCTGATGCATGTGTGCGCGTGCGTGCTCGTCTTCGTGGCAGGACAACCTTCCCGTTAGTGACAATGATCGACGTAATGTGATTTCGCCAGACAATATTATTTTCCCAACCCAGATTTGAATCAATAAATCTCACTAGGGTGACAACGTCTCAACCACACGTCAGTTTCATATTTTTTTCCATTTTATGGTTGCTTAGAGATAGAGAGAAAGTGACCAATTAAAACAAACGAATCCCGCAATCACTAATTCCCGTTTGAGATATACAAACAAATAATCACTTTGTAGGAATAAGACTTATCTTTAGCCAAAACCAATGAAGAAGTTTACAAAAATCAACCGAAACAACTGATTCAAACAGCTGTTGTGCTTACTTGCGTTTGTCCGCATAAGTTGCCTGCATCTCATTCGTATGACTGGCTGTTGACTGGAATTCGAACCCTGTAATCGGGAGTACAGCAAATCAACGACTGTTTTGCATTATGTTGATCTAGTAACACCTGTGCTTGTCAAAACGCAACGTTTTTGAAGTAAAAGGTTGGTTTATTCGTCGAGTTAGGATGAGAAATCATGTAGAAGTGGGGTGACATCTTTCCACCCTCAGAATCAGTGCCATGTATGCACGTCTGCACAAACTATGAAACGTACTTACTAATTCATTTGCGTGATTGTCTTCAACGGATTGATGTGAGTGACTTGGATGTCGTTGAAGGCTTGGAAGAGGTCTGTTACTCATGACTGACACCTAGAGGTAGTTGGTAGAGGCCGAAAAAGCAGAAATTTCGTGATTAAAATCAAATCATTGACAAAAGTGCACGTGTGACAGAGTAAAGAGACGGCGCGTGTTTTAGAAAATGCGCAAAAACCGAAAACACCAACATTTGGTGTTTAGAGCCTAGAGGAACCCGATTGATCTGTAAATGAGTGCCCAGTTACTGACGCAAAACCTATTACTTGAGCATTTAACTTAATACATACTTGTCTTTAAGCACATTTGACAGAGTAGGGGAGCAGCTGTGGTCTTAGGAATTGTTGAATAATCGGAAATACCAATAGTTGGAAAATCAAGCAAGTATTTTCACTCACATTCACCCACGTTTAGCAGTAAAGATTTTGAGAGCGAATGTTAGCATCAGAAAAGGCCGTGTTAAACTGTGTTTGGGAAAACACGCCAACGTATTTTGGCATTGTCAACAATTTCGAATGACAAAATAACTTTGTTTGCATTCTACGCAACCACGAATAGGCGCCACGTTTGCTTCATCAACAAAATTGTACTCAGATGTCAAAACATGACTCTTATTTGGCAGTTTTTTAACATTTAAAGGCAGCCGCGACGTTTAAAAACATTGAGCAGTCATTTGGTGTGAATCTTCGACCAACGCTTTGAGGGATACTCTCTGTTTGTGTCCTCAAATTTATGCTAGTCAGACAAACCCAATCTTGTCACTAGGCTTTCTGATAATTGACGCCTAATGCCGAAACTGCCTGAAAGATGGGCAATGGCCTGGCACTGATGATATCGCCCGCCAATCGAATTAAAGGAAGACGCTTTGTTAAAGCATTTAAACAACGGTCAAGGGCGACCAAATTTTACGTGTAGGGAAGCCATTAGTTTACGTACCGAGAGGTGATGAATATTCCTTTATGCGGAGTCAGTGCTCGAAGCTAATCCACAAGCACGCACTCGAGGAAGAAAATGCGAAAAGCAAGAGTCGAAATAATCCGCTTGGGGTTGCCGGAGCCAGTAACTAGCGGAACCGCATTAAATGCACTGTGCGACTTCACGAGCTGCCTGGAGCCGTGTGTGACGGAATATGAGTTGGTGAATTGCAACACAACGAATAAATGAGTTAGCGCCTCGCCATATGCACAGGTGCCCACGCATGTGCACACACACACACATTAGTGCAGATTGACGCATCGCATGAGCCAATGGGAGCAGAGCAACGAGGAACCGCCGAGACCAAGGTTTTTTCGTGTAAGGAATCGAAACAATAACAATTGACAAATAAACTGATGCAACAGGTAGTATTAGTGACACCAAAAGGAGACACGATTCCCCACATATGGAGCATTTTGACGAGAAGAAAATCGACCACGATTATTATTTATTACCTAAAGTCTCTATTAGTAGGCACGAAAAGTGATGAGATAGACAGACAAACAGATAGACAGGAAGAGCGAAGCGAAGCACACCAAACTGCCGGCGGACGAACAGAAAACAAAATTTGAAATAAAAAAACGGAGAAGGCTCAGGGTCGACGGTGGGAGGGGAGCGGAAATGCACCAGTGAGAAGCACAAGAAGAGCGGTGAAACGAAAATTCAATCGGTGGTTCAAAGGTCCAGACGGAAGCCCGGACAGGCGAGACCTCGGGCCGCGGCGACGTCTGCGTCGACTCCACTGTCGCCATCGGCGCTGACCAATTGGATGGTGGAGTGTTCGGCGACAGTGAGCAGATCGATTTGGTCACCAACCAATCGTTTCTCATTAATGGCTGCCCACTGAAGCAGTTCGGGCGTGTCGTGGGCCAGTATGAGGGACACCTCATTGGCTTGATTGTCTACGGGCAAAACAAAGTCGTTATGCGACAGGGGAGTTGGGTTTTGAAAAGAATACCACCAGATTCGTGGTTTAAAAAGTTAACGAATTTAGTTTTTAAACTGTACCTGGCTTTGGTTACGGTGTCACTCGAAATTAATTTCACAGCACGACTCCTGGTGCGCCCAATCGTCTTACGCTAGCATGATTTTTAAAACGCGCGGGAATCCAAGCAGGCGACAAGCCCGATTGGTCAGAATGTGTGCGCGTTAGTCATCTGATGCTGATTGGTCGATCTGCAGGTTGCTTCCGTTTCTCACTAATTACACACTGTAGATAGATTGCAACGGGACCAACTGCACATTTGAACGTGATTTCACAAAGTTAACGCTGACAAAGAGCATAAGGGATCTATGTGTGAACCAATCATTGACATCTCCCAAGGACACGAGGCGTCGTGGGATTGGCTAAGTGCCAGTTATCATTAATAACGTTGCTGAAGGTGCATATTTACACAAATGGTCGATTTACAAACTCTCGAATTTGTAAGCGTCACGACACCGTGTCAACTAAATGTGACGCTTGAGGTGGGGTTTTGTGGACAAAAATGAAAAGAAAAGCTACTCAAAAGCATTAAGTAGTATTAGCAGGCGCGAGCATTTGGCAAAATAGCGAAAACACACACACATACGCACGGCAAACGCTACTCTTACCCTTGGTAACCTTGCGGTTAGCTACAAAACAACAGGAAGACATGTAGTAGAGCGAAAAGGCAGCACTAAAAGCTGTCCACCCAGAAAGTGCGGGCACAAGTGGGAAACTTGACTAAAACTGGAAGAAAATTGGCAGAACAACCCATTTTCACACTTCTCCCATGCCCAGGATCTTCTTTTTCTTCAAACCACACCACTTTTCCCACATCCAGGCCATGTAAGTGTGGTTGTTCTGTGACAATTATGCCGTGACAGCGCACACAACCAAACACGCCCTCCAAACATCGATTGGAGGGGGCTAGAGATGTCAAGGAACCTCACCATTCCAGGACTCCTTGCCAACAGCGAGGGCTTTGAGGAGGTCTGGCGTGGGCGCGACCGCAGTCGCGACGTAGTAGCGAGCTCGCACGTGCTTGAAGAACTCCGCGTCGACCATGCCGACATCTCCGGCGCCCGGCAAGAAGGCCACGTCGACGTGGGTCTTCCTCAGCTTGTCGTACGGCGCCTTCCCCGGACCTCCGGTCACCGCGGAGGCCTCGAAGTAGCCCTCCGGTGGGCCGGACGCTGAACTCGCCGACCTCGTGGCACTCGGCTTGCTTGGCTTCGCTGAAATGCACAGAGAATGGGATTGTGAGGGGCGAGCACTAACAAAACTACTTCCTGTGATTCTTCAAGGCATCCGACCGATAGAAGGCGTAAAACTACCCACCATTTTAGTTCTTTTTTTGTTGACAGCGCGAGACAATCAAGCTTAGGCTTAGCAAATCCAGCGGCAATGACTCACCCAGTTGACAATCACAGATCGAGACTGTCACAAGTTAGACTGTCCGATGCAAACAAGCGATAAATTTGCTGCCCCCAAGGCGCTGCAATAAATCACGACATTTTGCCAGGGGCATCTACCAATGGAATGCGCAACAGCAACTGCTAGATTAGTCATTGTTATTAGCATTACTCGGCGCAAGGTGTTCACAACGCACACGGGCAGCCAACAAGACCATCTACTTCGAAGTAACACTGTTGGAGGTTGTTCTACAACTGACCCGCAGCAATGGGCGCAGGCATGGCCTGGGGCTGGCCCCACTCATTCAGGGGGTCCAATGCTTCGTGAGACACCTCCTGCGGTTTCTGGGGCACCCCCAGTGACTCGTGGGACATGTCAAGCGGTTCTTGGGAGGCCGCCTCCAGTGAGTCACGTGCTGTGTCGCCCTCATTGGCTAGGTGACTGTCACCATCGTGGAGAGGCCACTTTTCTTCCACATTGTTCGTCGGAGATGCCGCCTTGGAGGCGCCCGACTCGGAGACATCGTTGGCCAAAGGCGAGAGCGAGTCGTGCTGGATGAGATCGTGACCACTCAAGTCCTCCTCAACCGGCGTGTGCGACGACTCCAAAGGGGGACTTGCGACTGGTGAAGAACTGCCACCAGATGGTACTTCTAAAAGGGCAAATTTGCAGACGGGCAGTGATGATCTAACTACACAAATAGTCGCCGTGACTAATGATAATACTCTGCAACAGACAGCAGTGGGACTGGTACGCAGTACGAGCGCTAATCAGCTGTGACCAATTAGTCACCGAGGCAACTGTGTCGATCCAATCAGTGACCAATCAAAATGCCCCACCTAACAGCTGACGTGGTATGACACAAGGCTGCAGAAGCAATCACAATAGAGCCAAGAAAGCCGCTAAGACTAAGCACAACGCGCCACCACCTACCGACGTGTTGCAGAAATTCGCGCGTGGGTTCTTGTTCCGCCGCCTTTTCGGTGGCAGGCGGTGGTGCCTGAGGCGCCTTCACCGAAGACGGCGTTTGACGGAGCGTAGAAGTCGATTTCGTTGTGGGGTGGTGGGCGTTCGCCATGAGCTTCGGTTTCGCCGAACGTGGAGCCGCGGCTCCAGAGCCTGCAGGCTTCCGCACCTCCGCAGTCTTTGGTCGCGTCTGTCGCGGTGGCGCGCGCGGGGCAGGTCCACTGACGTTCGGATGGGCGCCGGGAACACCGTTGGCGACAGTGGCAGGGGGGCGAGCGGAAATCGGTTTTCGCGACGTGGCCGAGAGGGTAGACGCCGGCTTTCTGGCGAGCGAACCTGCTCCACCACCGCCACCAGCAGCAGCGGTGGTGGTGGTGGGGGCGGCGTAGGGGTTAGCTTGATGGATGCAGGGAAGTCCCACGTGGAGGTGCTCCAGTGCGAGCAGAACACGCGCCTGGTGGGCGTTGGGAGCAACGAAGAGAACGCGCAACAGGGCGTCGGATTTGCGCGCGGGCCTCCAGATCAACAGAGCGGAGACACTCAATTGTGAGACCTACAACACAGACCCTGAGGGCATTATTGGTGCTGCATTTCAATCAAAACTGGTCAACCGATCATCAATTAAACCTCGTGTCTTTACACAGCCCGGTTTAGTCATTTGAGTACGAGGAAGCACCGACAGCAGTCATTAGGCATTCCTCACGACACATTAGTCAATCCCAACTAATGACAACTAGCTCGGCGGTGATTGGATTAATTGCATGATTAAAACATGAAGCAAGCGCACCGACAGACACACACACACTTTGAGAGAGATGCATGGCATTCACATGCCTCTGATGCATAATTCAGCGCCGACAATAATTACCGCGCCAGCTAAGCCGGAAAACACAAGCGCGCGGAGAATGTGGAAATCGTTTTGGGCAATTCACCAGCACAGTAGTGTGACGTTTTTGGTCCAATCTCGACGTCACAGACTGCGCGGCTTTTGATGGTGACTTAGTGGCCCAAAGGTAATATTGCTGTGAATCGTGTTTAGTCACGCCCCTTAATCCGGTCGCTCCACCTCCGACACAGGGTTCCCCTTTTCGCAGCATGTCGCCGGCCGCGCGGATCCCCAACTCCCACCTCATTCCCTCGGATATTTATCATGGAGCATCCTCACACCTAGGTCTCGATGTTAGCACGTCTATGACTAACACACATCTTAGGCATAAATACACACGCACAAACGCCACACACGAGACGACAACACCAACGTGGTTGAGCTCTGGAGTAAACGGTTGTGTCCATGTCCTCTCCGTCCAGAGAAACGTAATCGGGCCTGGGTTCAAGGCCACATGCTGGTGCCTACTGCGGTTCTTGGGAACTTCTGTTGTCTAGTGCCTGGTCAGCAAGTCGCAGAAGGACAAGGTGTTTGCTCTGGTGAGAAATCGATTTCACGGATCTCTCCAAATCAACCGCATCGACCACAGCAGCAAAAGGTTCGAAGAAAAAAAAAGAAGGAGACTCACGAGCGGTAGGACTGCGTGTCGCGGAGCAGTCACACCCTTGGCAGCACCGACCAGTGCCGCAGTCACACTGGGGGCTGTCTTTGTCCAGAGTTCGGCAAGTTTTTTCACCTCCGCCTGATCCTCGTCGGTGGGCGTGAGGGGGTAGAGGTCGAGGCTTCCGTAACCAGTCTGACAAAGAAATCAATGAACAGTGAGCAGCAGAACATCGGTGTCAATGCTTGGCCCCTTCCCCTGGGTGCCGGTTACAACAAGAACCTTCAGGGCAGCACACAACTGGTAATGAAGCTGTGGTTGACCTACACCACGCCTCACTCAACTGTGCGTTAAGAATCCCTGCAATCACACATAGCATGGCTAGCGGGTGAATTAGCGCTTGCGGTTCGATTGGAGGCGTCCAGATCACATTTTGGCTGAACAGATGACCCCCATTTGCAGGCAGGCTTGAGTTTTGTAAAAGAATTAAGGTACTACTAAAAGTGACTGTTCGGTGGCGTTGACGGGAGAACGACAATTCGGAAACCTTTAACCTACAAACACGTCGTGGAATCACCCCGGAATGGTACTCTCTGACGCGATTAGCCCCGAAAGAAGTGACAACTGGCGGCGTGGAAATTGCTGCCTCTGGTGTTTGCGCTGCCCGACTGGTGATTCACGTCCATCAATTTTGCCATCGTGTGCTCAAACACACCCCCACCCCGGTCTCGACTGCTCACACCGACGCGCCTGATCACGTCGGCACGGTTGCGACTTCGTCCAACTGTCTGACAGTCTCCATCACTTTGCATGCGACAAGGCGGTCAGGTACGGACAATGGACCCTGTGTTTTGGACGCGAAAACCTCTACCTTCGCAGTCGTTCACCAGATCCTACCTTGTAGTAGAGAGGCACAGACTTGGGCATGGCGGAGATCTTGGCACCACGACCGACCTCCAGCGGAGTAAGGCGCGACTCAGCTACGAACGGCCGCATCTCCTGAGACAGGTCGCAGATCACCTTGGCGACGTTGACAACCAAGGGGTCGGCGGAGGCGGGTGTCGCTGTGTCACCAGACGGCGGCTGGGCGAGCAGATGACCCGGCGGGGGTGTCAGGAGACACGTGACCTTGGGCACTGGCGACGCTCCATCCGACGAGGCCATCAACGCGGGTAGCAGGGATGTCAAACCGAGGGTGTTGTCGATTCCCCAGTGGGTGAGCAAGATGGCGTCAATGCTGTGGGCACACAAAAAGGAGGCGGTGTTGACGCCGAATTTGGCAGTAGTGAGTAAAACGCCGGTAGGATATTTGGTTGATGAGCTAACGACAGCGGCGGGCAGGTCTAATGGTTGAGCAAGGGGTGACACGAGGAGTTGCAGCTTTTGTTTGGCAAAAGAAGTCGCCAAAACGCCTAACTCATTACTTCTCGCGTGACTAAGAACGCCGCAGGCGTGCAAAGGCCACCTAGCTGCGTGACGTAGAGCAGCCACTCCACAAAACGAAAACGCACCGCCATAAAACTGGTGCGCGGCAAGGTGCCTGGTGAAAATTGTGGTTGGTATCGTCTACATTGCCGCCACAGAGCACATTTTTCCAGATTATCGACTTATCGCTCAGCACGATAAAGTAGGCGTACGAGAGTATGGGGTGCTACTGAGCGAAAACCGAGTCTCGAATCGTCAAAATTTAGATAAAAGCAGCTCTTTTTACAAAAAAAACGGAGGAGAGAAAATACACCAATGACGCAGGAGCCTAGAGACAACGCCTCACGAGTGGAATAAAAGCTTATTTTTGTTTCAGTGGGGTCGATGCGCGCGCATTTTATGACCTGCCTACCCACCCACGAGTGGCAAAATCGGAATGAGGGAACAGGAAACGCAGGAAAATCCGAGTTACAAGGACCACGCGAACTAATGGTGTGACTGCTAGGGTGTACAGAACCAAATTTTGGGCCACGAAAAACTAGTGCAAAGCTTGGGAAGAAACTCGTCATGGGAGGTGACGATGTCTGGCGATGCGGAGTCGCTAATTTGCCCCAGAAGAAGGGGGTCAGGAGGTGACTAGAGTGGGTTAGATTAGGCTACGTCCAAGTAGCAGCGAGACAACTAACTTTTCGAGGTGCTGGGCCATTTTCCATGCTGTGGGGTCGCGCGAACAGCCCGCATTGACCATGAGAGAGAAGCCGGGCAGAGCAAAGACCACCGACTGTCCGGAGCCTTCGGGGAAGACGTAGAGACAGGGGTGTTGAATGCGGATCGAGCAGCCCTCAGCCCTGATCGACGGTCCACAGGCGGGCGTGGGTGAGGGAGCAGCCAGCACTGCTTCCACGCGCTGGCAAAAAGCCTCGACTCCTGTGGATGGAATACGAAAAGAGGGAGGAGGTGATGGTGGGGGGGGGGGTGAGGTGAGGGAGGCTGTACCGTTTCGGTGAGTCAGCAAGTCAAATTTGTTCACTTAGTTCTAACTCGGGCACACACACACACACGCGCATGCACATGTGTGCATTCTTTGACTGGGCTAGAAGTTAGGCGAAATGCCAACATTCTCGCATGTTTGATTGGCGCACAAAGCCTCTGAAACAAACAAGTCTGTGTGCTGAACAGTCCGCATTTAAAAAAATCTTAGTTGAGCTAGCCCATCCACTGATTTACTGTTCTTGCACAAACTGAAGCCTTGAGTAATGTCCTGTGTGTGTGTGTGTGTTGATGAGAAGAGAACAGAATATTTCAATTTTTCCAAAATAAAGTTTGAGTAAACAGAGAGTAGCAAGCTCTTTGAAGTTCACGAGCACAAAAACGCCACTGTCAATTACACTTCCATCCCACAAACAGATGAGTTGACGCTTGATAAACGCCACTTGTTGCTAGCGCAGAGCGTTGCTAAGGCACACTTAAAACCAGCGACAAGAAGGGCTTAGAGAGGAAAATTTAAACCACAATTTCGAGTCTCGTTCCGCCAAAATCTATTTTCTTTGTTAAAAAAAAACGTCCAACAGCACACAAACGCTTGAGGCGGTGAAAACGGGTGCATTAATCACACAAAGTTGAGTGTCACTTCGTGGAAGCAAGGTCGGCAGCACAAACGAACAACCACGATGTTAGCAAAAATGTTGGATTGTGCAGCACGACAATAGGGAATTAGTCATTCCGGTTTAAGTGGACAGGAATCAAGTCTGTTTTCATGAGAGTCGACTTTGCTTGCACTGCAAAAAGGCTTGTCTTGTTGCAAGTTCTGCCGAAAGGTCTAGAATAAGTTGTAAATCACTGGCAAAAGGTAATTTGTCACACAGACGTTTCGAAAAACGTGGTGTCGGTGTTACGAATGACAGATGCGTTTAAGGGGCTTGAGTTACCGCGAAAATACCCACATTCCCATGGTCCACATTCTTATACGTGTATAAAAAACCATCAGATATCTGTGAATGAGAAAATGTACACTTGTAAGCCATTAGAAGTTATAGCAAACGCATTGAAAAACACGAAATACATGGCCAACGCACGCACAATAAACCCAGGAATGTGAAAAAGGTGTTAATCTTGGGCTTTTTCTGCATAAAAAACACAACGAGGAAGGAGTGAGAGAGGAGACTGCTTACCAGCGATGTCACTTGGTAGAGGAGCGAGTTCAGGCTTGGCAGGAGCTCCCAGTGTAGGAGGTCTTTTAAGGTGTGGATGCTGGCGATTCACGGAGACGAGGAGGGGGTGACCGGCGATCGTTGCAGGGAGGCGGCTCGTCAGAACGTGACGCCACTCACCGCCCATGGAAACACTGGTACAGGCGATATGAAGAGTCAATGGAGCCACCGATTCCTTGGCGGCATCAGCCTGCAGACGGGGAGGGGCACAAAATGGGCCATTCACAAGTGCTAATCATTGCAATAATCGTACGAGCCACTGACTACTTCCAAATTACCGAGCCCGAACATTGAAGCAGCAAGATTTGAAATAATGGGAAATCAAACAAGTATATTAGAGGAACGTACCAATGTTTTTACGAGTTTTCTAGATACAGATGAAATCCCATCAACTACGTAACTGGGCTTGAAAACGGCGCTAGGAAGAATCCAGTGGCCACTTGACTGACAGATGGCTCCCGAGTATACCAGGCAGATAATTCGAGGTAAAAGCATCAAGGCACCTTCCAAATGCTCCAATATCCGACCAACAGACGGCCTTTGCAAGAGTATGATGCTAGCGTCAGCAGAAGTGAACTTAAAGTCTGTAAATTAGGAACGGAATTGATGTGTAGTTCCTCTAGGAAGATACATTTCAATAGTCCACTTGGCAATAGAATCGAAGAACTTACCGTCATGAGAAATCGATTCCGGTTCACTAACAGATAGTAAGATCTCATTTACCTTCAATGTCTCGAACTGAGGAATGGTTGACAAGCCTATAAGCAGGGAGAAGCATTATTGTACAGGAAATGCCATTAAAAAATTTATAAACAATAAAATTGTATAAAAAGCATCCCAATGAAAAGGTTTGGCAAACACAAGTTAGATACGCGTTTAGCAACAGTAGTAGTAATTTTAATACGATTGTAGTGCGTCACTTCAGTTAAGTAAATTGGGGTGGATACAGCAGCGAGATCGTACACAAGTAAAATGACAAGAGCTTACTCCAAAGAAAAATTTGCACAAAAAAAACAAGTTACTAATGTTTTTTCTTTGCTGAAACAACACACAAAATTAGCATCTTAATGAGGCTTGTAACGCAGAAATGGAAGCAATAAATATGATTGGCAGACAGCAAAAAAGCAACAGAACAACGACGCATTTTGACTTGTCTCTAGTCAGATTATTTGATCCCTAACCAGCATCTCGCATTAAAATCTCAACTATTCAATTACTTCCAAAATTTAAAAAAAGTTGGAAAAAGTCAAAAATAGGCGTTACGCAATAAATCGTTCAGCTTTGATTGTTTTACTGCTCCGACTCATTCCGAAATTGGTAGATTCGCACTTTGTTTTAGAGGAAAAGTGAAAGCGGCAACTCATAACATTCAGCAGAGGCGTGTCAATCGCTTAAAATACCTGAAAATTATTTATTGATGCTTTATGATTCGTTAGACGCGTAGGTACATCAAGTAAATTAATTCTAACGTGTGAAGCTACAATTGAATTAAGACAACGGAACTCTTATAACATGCACAAATATGCAATAATTACACAAGTTACCATCTTTGATGTGAGAAAGAAGACACGTCCTATCGACGACTTCAATAGTCTCTCCGACAACCAAAATGATGCTGACAACGGACATTCGAACGACTACAAACACACGACCTAGAGATTTCTATGAACGCGCCTATTTTCGATGATCAATCTTCAGTGTTAAAATAAATGGGTCATATATTAACCGCTAGGCACCAAGTCAAAAACACATTTTATACATATAATTGCTTTTTTGACAATAAATGTTAGTAACTTTTACTATGAACAAAGCGAAAAGGCCAGAAACAAAAATTAGAACAATCGCTCTCTTAAATATGGGAGATGTGAAAAGCTGACCATATAAGGTCGAACAGCTGTTTTAAACCAAAGGCTTTTTAGTTAATTAACTTTAAATTACGGAATTCAATTTATTCCACCATAGTCAATGTAAAATTAAAACTGGGTTTTACTATGTAGCATAAAATTGACTAATTTTATATTTTGAAGGGCACTAAAGGAAGCCCAAACCTACTAAGATATCGTAAAACAGAAACCACTAGCATTTAGTTAGCTAAACCTTTATGTTTCAGGCGTAGATACATATTATTGCTATTATGCTAGGTGCAACTTTATTCTACCATGCTGTTGCTAAAATTATAAGGCATATTTTCAAATCCAGAGATGGTTGTGCTCAGTTTTGTAGTCATTTGCTAGCACTAACATAAAACCTATTAAGTAAAGAGTCTGCCAACAGAGGCAAGGCAGGTGAGGCAAATATTACTAAGTTAACATCAGACTACTCATGAGTATTCTAAATGGTGTATGAGTGTGGCTATTGACCGTCAACTCAAATCAATAGTTAATAACACATGGTCACCATGTAAGTCGACTAAACTTACGTTCGCTTGCTGGCGGTTCTCTACAATTAAATCATATGCTTGCTATACCTATTGTACTCATAGGAAAATTCTGGAATCTTGGCATTAACTATAGCAACATAACAAAATAATATTACTACGTTTTAAAAAATAAAATTTGTACTTTCAGTAGGCTCATATTTTTAAAGAATTCGACTTTACCTATAACCTAAAGTTATTTAACTTAACGTTTTCAGCTTAAACAGTTAATCAAGATAAAATTTCAGTTAGATCATATACTCAGATATACGGAAAACATAAAATCTTTGATGTCAAAAGTTAACTTTTGAATTTTTAATTTTATAATATTTACAAAAGAGAACCTAGTCATAACTCACTAGCCTTCGCGAACTGTATATATTACATGAATAATAAAATATAATCGCGCTAGCCCTATGTCATTCTATTTCCTTTCTACATCTGAAAAAAAACTATTTTACTTGCCACATACTTCTAATACCTTACTATTTCCCTTTAACTTGCAAATATAGTGAAAGTAACTCAAAATCTATTGATAGTCACACGAAATCATTACTGAATATGCCAAGACGAGATATATATCTTGGCGTTGTATATGAAGTCGTTTTCTGTAATGTAGAAAAGTTGTGTGTTAATTGTCCTCATTTTAGTCGTCAAAAAGTGTTTTGAAATATAAAGCAAACTACGGCTTAGTGTTTTTAATTTTCTTAATCGAAGGTCAAACGTTTAACGCACCGTTCTAATTTGCTGCTTAGGATGCGTCCGGCTTGGTTTTGCGTTTTGTTCATCATCTTTGGTATTGTACACTCTAAAGAAGCTGATGAACTGAGTTTTTCGGAAGGTGTGACGTGTAGGTCGTACGTGGCTGCTAAAAGTAATGGTTTGCTCGATGTATGCAAAAATCTTTGGCGTAATGCTGACATTTCAACATTCCCCGTGGAATCTGTCGACTGTATATCATGCAAGCATCTCTTAAGCAGTCGAAATTACAAAGCGCTTGCCAAACTCATATCGACAAAAGAGGTAATGCCCTATACATCTGTCCTCACTTTAGGACTCGGTCAATTTCGACTCGGAGTACATTAAAGATCTACATAATGAATTGGTACAAATATTCTCATTTACTAAAAATTCCCTAGAAAAACGATGTGCTTTTGTGCGCTTTACTTAGTCGGTGCACCAGTGACGTATTTACTCTCCCGGTACGTCATCTTGTTCTTGCTTTCTTTGTGGTCATATTGTTTATACTCGGCCTGTGCACTCTCCAAATGTGATTCACTGCTTTGCTTTACTGTACGAAGCCAAATTTCTACCGATTTTTTATTTATTCTGGGGTTACCTGCAACTGTCATCTACAATATAATATATTGTCGACAGTATTACGTCACTAATCTTTTTATATTCTCAAAATATTCCAGACTCTTCGATTCCGCGTCAGATCTACTTGTGATGATTGCAAGAAAATCATAGATGACACACGTGTCTTAATCAAAGATAATGACACCAAGTCCGCTGTTGCTAGTTTTCTCAAGAAATCTTTCTGCTACGAACTCCCGCTTCAAATTGTTGATATTTGTAAGCGCACCGTTGATAATTACGTAGGCGTTATCATGGATCTTGCGGCAAGCGAGCTGGTAAGTTGTCTTTAATGCTCCGTGATACCTTTCGTTTGAGGAATCTGGCCCCATATGTGCTCTCTTTGGACTCTGTCTTGGCGAACGAAACCTTGCTCGGGTAGTGCTTTGGTTGCTTATTTACCATATTGATAGACCCACAACGCGCCACCTGCCATAGAGGCCTACTCATGGATTAACCGACCTGCTCCCGTCGGCTTCGAATTTTTCCATTCTCGCCTTACCAGAAAGACTGAACCTGAAGGCTCAGATACCTGCACTGATTGTGTCAATGTCTTCTCCCGCATTCGCGATAAAACCGAGGATCCAAACTTTGACAAAATGTTGAAAGATGTGGTCAAAGACAAGCTTTGCGAGTCCTTTGGCTACTTCAAAGCTATGGTAAGTCTTTTTTACTTCTCATGATGATTGCCTCTCTAGTGCGAAGCTGCTGTGTCAAAGCAGGTAGACGCGATGATCGACAATGCCTCAAAAATGAACATTACTGACCTGTGCTTCTTCTTTGGTCAGTGCACGGAGGGCGTGTCTGCAGCAGCGATTACTCTCAAGCAGGATCTTCACCGAATTTACACTCAGACCCCACAGAGGTCTGACGTCGAAATCCCATTTCTCTGTCCTTTCTGTCGATATGTCATAAAGACGGCTATCGATGCTACTCTTGACAACAGAACCGTAGCGGCAATGGCGTATGCTCTGGAACAAGTTAGTACCAGTTTTATGTTATGGATCAGTTGAAACTAATTCATGCAATCACTACTCGATTATCAACTATTTTGCCTTTAGACCTGCTATTTGTTCAGTGGCGAAACTCGAAGGAATTGCATCAACTTCATAGAAACCAATGCAGATTTGATTATCAAGGAGGTTATGGCTGGCACCGCTCCTGAACTGATTTGCATGGCGATCGGAGTTTGCGGTCCATTCCAACAACCCCAACCTGTTGACGTGAGTTGTGTGCCAGTAGATGTCACTAGGCGTGTTACTATTGTGAGCATGTAGGCTATTACGATGTTCCCTCGTTTCTGTTATTAATATTCTTGGCAGACGTCAGTGCCTACAGACGTCTCTGTCGACGTTTTACGAATCAAAGGTTCGAAATTTGCTGCTAGCTTCGCTGTTGCATTCTAGTCGGCTGCTCAAATTTGGCGTATTTGAAATTCAATGGACTTGTTTGGCTTTTTGCCAATAAAATTTAAATAATGCGTTGTTAGAATCGGTGTAGCTTTAAACGTGAGGCGCTTACTTGTTTGTAGACCCGGTTATATATTAACTCGCATTTAAGAGGCACATTTTTGCTGATTTTGTGATGTTTACGGCAACATGAAATAGACTCTTATCTAAAGCTTATAAATAAAATGTCCTCGTAGTTTCAATAAATCACCTTTTCAGAGAAGTGCGTTTTTTAGGCGGTAATCAACGTTTGCATTGCTCAGTTTAAAGTTCTTGCATGTTTGCCGTTTGCGCATTGCAGGATTCCAAGTGTAGCATATGCGAAGTAATTGTCAACACTATCTACGAGAATCTCGAAGCCAATGCGACCAAGGAGAAAATTATCGAGGAGTTGGAGACCGTCTGCAGTTATCTTCCCTACGTGAAAGACCAGGTGTGTGTGTGTGTGTATTAGTAAAAATAAACTAATATCGTCAGCACACTCCGGCTATTTGGTGGGCTTCGTGTTGGTTATGTCTCTCTTACTTCAGTTTTGTTGGTTAACCAGTGTCTTGCTCTTTGTATTATTAAATTGCCTTCTTATACCAACCCCTATTTCTCGTCTTTTAGTGCATTAATTTGGTAGACGAATATGCGTCACAGGTTATCGACTACCTCGTGGACGGCGTGCCACCGAAGGAAGTCTGCAAGGTATGTTGTCTCCTCGTAGTGAGGCTATTGAATGTGGAAATATCGGTGATTCATAACCATTGTCCCAGACTGGATCGGTGGTAGTCGTTCCGGATTGGCTGTCCCCGGGGTCACCGACCAATCAGATTGAGGAAATTAAGTGCCTCCTTTTCAGTCTTGGGACAAAGCGTTGTAGTCGCAAAGTTGGCAGCTGACTCAACTAACATTGATTGGTTGTCTCCAACCAATGAAGCCTCTTCACGTCACTTGTCAACCACTGACGTTCATGTGTGTCTCATTCTTCTAGAAATTAGGATTCTGCCAGCAGAAAGTTGAAGACCTTCAAGTGGAAGATTCGTGTGCCATTTGCGAAGTGGTTTTCATCGAGCTCTACTCAAAACTGCGGGACAATTACACCATCGAGCACATTGAAAATGCCCTAGAAACTGTCTGCAATTATATCCCCACCGGCTATGAAGACAAGGCAATTGTTTCCCAATTCGTTATCTTCAAATTTGTCATCTTATTTGCACTTTTTTTCAATGCTTGCTTGCTTGCAATTGTAGTGTCGGTCGCTAGTCCGTGAAAACACACCTGCGATAATCGACCTGGTCATGCAAAAAGTAACGCCAAGGTCCATTTGTGAGGTATGTGACTTGCAGGATCCGCATTCTCTCCCCAATTGTTTTTTCGTCGGTGTTTAAGTTTTATTTTTACCCTGGGAAGCATGTTAATTTAACCCAGTAAACTCACATTAAGGGATCAATTGTCTACGCAAGAGCTGTGCCTAGCTTCCTCCCTTCTTTGGCATCAACGTCAGTGATCTTGATGAAACTAGACACCACCTTGGGTCTCTACTTCTGCAAATCTGATAATCTAGTCTGCCGACAAAAGTTTGGTAGTGAGGTCTGACTCCAGGTGGCCAGTGATGGATCTCCTTGACGTGTTGGTGGATTTTCTTTCCTCTTACCCCTCTAGACACTCGGAATCTGTTATGGTCGTCGCGCGAGGCCCACACCAGGAATCGGGAAGTGTGAGATTTGCGAGGACATTATTGATTTCATCTACACCAAGCTAGAGGACGGGGCTACCGCGGACGAAATCAAGAAGACCCTAGAAACCGTCTGCGATCACCTCCCCGGTGACAACATGAAAGCCACCGTCAGTAATCGCCTCCCCATTTGCCTGCTTTGCACAATTCTTTCGCGTGTTAATACTCATCTGGTTTTGTCTTTCAGTGTCACGAGTACGTGAGGGCATACACCTCGGTGCTAATAAACCTTCTCATGGAAAACCTACCGCCTCGTGAAATATGCCAGGTAATTTCTGGGCGCCAAACGCATATTCGCCACTTCTGCTCTAAGTAATGTGTTTAAGAGTTGGTAAAGTGTGCGTGTCAAATCCGCTGCAATTTGTAGGCCCTGCATCTGTGTCCGTCGGATCAGCTGGTGAAGCGAATGTGTGCTGGCGGACCCGTTGCCTGGTGCCGTGATCAAAAAACCGCCGAACTGTGTTCTCGTATTCCCTTCTGCAAGGAATTCATCTGGGGCAACAACAATGACCAGCACCCACGACCCTCGATCGTGCGCAAGTAAGTACACAACCTCTCTACGTCGAGTGTGGTTTCTTTTTTGCGGTGAAGTTACCGACCTTCCATCGTCTGAAGGTACGACTGCAGCAAACTCTTCACACAGGAGGAGCGTTGCTCTAATCAGCGTCTGATGCGACTATGTGGCTTTGTGGGCTTCTGTGCCGACTTCAAACGACCTCTCGTAGCCGCGTCCGACCAGTGTCGATTCTGCCGCAACCTCCTCACTCAGCGCCTTGTCTACGGCAGCTTGTCTCCTGACTGCTCGATTTACGTCAACCCTCTGGAAAAAGCACGCGTAAGTTTTGGCCACTGGATGACGATTGTAAGATTGCTAACTTTAACGCTTGTCTTTATGTGTTCTTGCCTCTCTTGTAGTGTGAAAAGGTGCGCTCAGTGAAGCTTCCTGGTCAGCTGAACACCAACAGTCTGGACTCCGTCTGTAAGGTAAATCACTGCTCTGTTTTACTGTCAAATGAAGACACGCGCATTCGCGTAGCCTAGATCTTACGAATTCTGGCGTGTTATCTTTGAAGGAGAATGGATTGTGTGACGAAGGTTCCGATTCAAAACCACCCATGCCGAATGTCCTCGGCGACGACCCTTGCTTGTGGGGTCCATCGGTTACGTGCCGTGACGCCGACATCGCATCACGATGTGGCGCCACCGCCTACTGCCAGCAGAACGTCTGGTTGGCCGACCGGCCGGAAGGACGTCGTGTAAACCAGGTTCCTGGAATGAAACTCGTTGACTGCTCGCGACCTCTCAACGAGATATGCGTCTCGCCGATGCTTCGCTACTGCGGCAAGTCCATCTTGGACCAGTGCAAGCGCCACGTCGCCTCAGCGTCTGAGGACTCGAAGCAGGACGGCGATTTGCGTCAGCGCATGTGCAAGGATCGTCCCGTGAGCTTCTGTTCCGACGCCAAAATGGTGGAACTCTGCAGCATGGGGGAGTACTGCGAGGCGATGAGCATGGCACCCACTCCGGCCGCCCCTCTGGCCAAGAGGTCAAAGGTCACGGCGGACCCCAGGTGCAAACGCGGTCCCGCATTCTTCTGCCAATCCTACCAGAAGGCAGTGCTGTGCGGGGAGGTTAAGCAGTGTCGACGACGCTTCTGGTTGTAGATCTCACCACCTAGCCAGGCATTTCCTCCCCTTTTAATCGCAGCATCGAAAACTCGTTTTGATTGACTCCAACACCTGACACAAACCCTGCTTACGTGCATCATGTCATTACACAGATCAGGTTCCTGTGATTAAGTACGTTTCTGGCTGCGTTTTTGCCTGTCGTTTTGCTTTCCTTTGATAGCCTGTAGTCGGATTCTTAGATAGACTACTATAGTTGGATTACTTTGCACAGGGGTAGCTGCTCCCAGGGGGAAAATCCTTAAGTCACATGTTTTTTTCAGATGAAGTTATTGCCATTATCACACGCACACAGGCCGTACACCCGTCAACTGCACTGTCACCTGCTGTGCTTATTGCAATTGAACCGTTATCGAATGGAAGTTTACACTAAGATTGCGTTTCATAGCTGGCATTCAGTGCTTTGCGTGTTGCAGTATGGTGTTTCAATGTCACCAATGCGACAGTAGTCACAAAACTGGCATTTTGTAGTGGCGGGTGTCAGAACTTATTGAGGCACGTTGTCGGTTTTTTTGGTCGGACTAACTATGGAAGGTTCTTTGAATTCGTCAGTGTGATGGATTGGCGGGGGTTGAAGCTCCTTGATAAGTACCCTGGTCTTCAGTTTAACGGTGCTTGAAACGGCTGGCCAGCATCTGCAGTTCCGTCGGACAACTGCCTTCAAAGCAGATTGGCCAAAATGGTGCTGTCTTCCAGCCAGAATCTCCTCAAAGCACTTTACGAATCCATCAATTGGATTTTTGAGGTGCCCCTCCATCGGACTGCCATCTTTTCAGACCGGCGGAGAATTTCAGTTGCGTAGAAAACGCCCTAATCGCCGCTCTGGTCATACAAGAATGGAGCTTAATTTACTTCGTGTAAATTGTAGCGAATGCAGTAAACAATGGTCCCTCTCACTTCACTGGATCACCAAATAAGCCATGACTGCTTAATTCCGTTGCCACGTGTGCCTGTTCGTTCGTTTGAAACCAGTGCTTCCTACGTCTAGTATTTGTGTAGATCTTTGAAGAGTGTAAGTCTTCCGATATATCGTGATTTTAATATTAATTACGTTAGGATCCAACCCGGCATTTCCCGTTACAAATTGATACCCATGGCTTCCAAAATGGGGCAGAATGGTGTTGGATGACGGTGTTAAAAGAAGCCAATTCCATTGACTGTTAAGCCCATTTCTTGTTGTGCGCCTTGTGACTGATACGCTAACTCAAAGGTGTTGGTTGCGCAGGTTAAGCAACGCAAACGTTTTTATTTAACCCGAGACAACATGGTTTTGATTGAGATGTTGTGGGCCCCAGAATGTGGCCTTGAACCGCGCTGGGGCCACGGAATCAACCCTGAACAGATTACGTTTCCCTGATAACCGTGGTGAAGAAAAAGATCGGAGAGGACGGGGACACAACCGCTTACTTCAGAGCTCAACCACGTTGGTGTCCTTGTGTCGTGTGTGGGGTTTGCGCGTTTGTACTAATACCTCGGATTTGTGAGTCATAGATGCGCTAACATCGAGACCTAGGTGTGAGGTTAATCTAAATATCCGTGTGAATGAGGAGGGAGTTGAGGATTCGCGCGGCTGGCGACATGCTGCGAAAAGGGGAATCCTGTGTCGGAGGTGAAGCGGCCGGATTAAGGGATGTGAATAAACGCAATTCACAACAGAGACATCACCTCATTTTACTAGTAGATCTCAATGACTCTCCTCCAATGCAAACGCTTTCAAACCCTCGACGTCTTGTCTAGGCCAAGGAAGTTCTATCACTGATCTCCACTCCTAGTAGACGAATCCACGATTATTTTCCGGTCAAATTTGGCGTTCTTTTGGCCATTCTTTGAATAACTTGGGCTGCTTCGTTTCAACAAGAGAGAAACCTGAAAACTCGAACCATTTATTAATCATCCGCGTACATTCTCAATCTTTTTTGCCAAAATACCGATTTGAAGTGGCACGAACAGCTTAACAGATTGACTACAATTCTACTTTTTGGTTAATTTAAAACGGCTGATAATGATTCATCAGCCTCGATAACAAAACCTAACCGAGCCTTGTGAAGCCAGTGTGAGAAAAAAGGCGAGTACCAACCATTTAGACGATAAACAAACTCGTGGCGGTAGTATTGGATGCGCGAATCAAGTTAATAGCAGATCATGGCCTAGTCGGTCTGTGTTCTTATTGGTTCTTTGGCTGAAGTTTCTAGGAGAATGCGTCTCCAACACTGAGAACCTTGAAACGGTTTAGTGTCAATTCTGGTGAAGCTCACGGTTACTGAGACGTAAACAGAACATGCAAATTGAAGTTACAAAATGTAATGATGCTGCTTAGGCGCCGCTGCATTGAATGGCAGATTTCAGCTTACCGTGGCATGGCTGCCACAGTCCACCAGCTACATGCATGACGCCGTGTAAACTAAACAATTATTATGCATTGTTTAAGCAACTTCTCGCCCTTTTCAACTCGCGTAAACCAACTCTCATTCACTTGTTTATGTCGAATTGCCAGCACTCGGCACTTGAAAGAATTCGATATCTAAAAAAACTCGAAAGTGATTGGTTATGTCACTGGCGTAGGCGGTCGATATCCACGCCAGTGCATCTGTTGGTGATTGATGCTCACGCGGGTGGTTATTGATTTTTCCTGAACCCTGGTTTTGCCTGAGTGAAGTAACTGGCGTAGCTGTGTGGCACGCCTGGTGGTTTATTGTGGTTGCTTCGACCGTGTAGGCACTTATTTTAATGAAAAAGGCAATTTTTAGCTTAAATGAGGCCTTCCGCCTGTCGTATTCAAAATTGAGGTTACGATAAAACCGGGTTGATTTGTAGGAATTCCCAAGTCGAAAATCTGTGTTGGACTGACAGCCACCTCGCGTGAGTGATGCGTGCATGAGGGCCCGAGTGGACCAATGACTCACCCCTTTTGCTATTGGCCTCTGTCGGCATTCGCCTGTTGCTCACTCGTACTCATACGCACACAAAGCTGCTTGGCTGGTTTGACGCTAATAAACGGTCGTGCTCTCTGTCGCCGCTGTTCCACTCTTCTCGAGTTATTTCGGGCTGTTAACTAGAGGGTCGTAAGGTAGTGCTAAGTCTCTAGCTACTACAAATCGTACAATTAGTGATCTCGTGCCAGTCTGCGCATAATACTTGTTGTTTGTGCATTTCGAAACGCACAAATCAAATCACTGTTGAGGCGACCATTGTGTTACCCAAAAATCGATAGCTCATTACATGTAGTGATCATCCAGACCACCGAATATTCAATTTTCCGCAAAAAAAAGTCTGTTCTAAATTTGGGCACCTCTCACCTTTCCCTCTGTTCCTTTTAAAAACAAAGATTACGAGTGGCATCGAAAAGGCGTCGAAACCGTGTCTTTAAAGCGAAGTCTTCAGCAACAATCCAACAAGGCGAATTTCATCGTCAAATTGAAACTGATAACTGTTCTGTCCAAAATTTCTCTATGTCGCGCGATCTCACGGGTTACGCCACGCTGCAGTCACGCCAATTTGACATCCACACCTACAACTCCCACCGCAGCTTAATCCGTTAGGTCAAGGCCAGTCCAAGCACACACGAGTGTCCCTTGGCCCCTAATCGAGACAATTAAAACAATCTCTCCTGTAAATTCGCAGGGAAAGAGATGTGCATTTGAACACAAAGTGCATGATCTAAGTTCCAAGGAATCATGTGGATCGCTTTTCACTAACTCTAAGTCTGGATTATTAAACACACCGACTACATCGTCACGCGAAGACTTTACAACTAAACTACCTGTTCCAACGAATTTGAGGTCGCGTTGCCATGGCAGTTTGAGTCACCGTAACCATTCTATTAATTTCTAACTCATGCGGGTGGAATGGACAGAAAGATGGACGTCTTCTTCAGACTTGTTGAAGCAAGTTTGCACAGAGGGTGTTGACAGCTAAGCTGCTTTTTAGGAAAGGCCAGTGTTTGTGCGTCTGGTTTCCACACGCACGGTTCGATAAGGTAAACAATCCAGGCTGGTGATCACGTAAACAATTATTCTGTTCCATCTAAACAGACACCATCCTGTGACTCGCAAGGCTTTCACTCAAGAACTGGATTATTTGCACGAACAGGTTCAGTTAATTTGCCTTGTAGCTCATGAAGTGAGTGTGTGTTGCTAGACAATTGGAATTTTTCTTCCATAAACAACGTTTGTGAGATTTTTCGAGTACACAGAAGCAACTTAGCCGGTTTACAAGAAACTGTTCAGCGAGGCAGGATCCTAGAGACGAGTTTCTGCACACCACTTTCTGATTGGTCGAGTGGGAGACAAAAAAGGCTAGATTTGATTGGATGACATTAAGAATAGAACAACATGCACTCATTGGAAGTAATCTATTGGTAATTCATGGCGGTGGAAAGTCTCACCCACTCAGCCATTAATGTGCTAATTGTCACAAAAAGCCACAGAAAGTGGTAGTGTAATGGAACCTGTGGGACAATTGACGATCGTTAGAAAGCTGTCACATTTCTGGAATACAAATATGCCATTGCATTACATTAGCATTATTTCAGCTCAACTTAAATGTCATGAGCATAGAAAATGTTTGCTTTTAATTACTGCTACTTGTATTTTATTAGTAGTATGCATTTAAAACACACCTTTTGGACGGGATTGGTTCACGTTTACGTGAAAAACATCAGAAAACTGATTTTTCTACGCCTTAATTCAAAAACACTTGCCTAAGTTGCCTAAACTTAATCACCACAATGTGTTTTTATTTCATGATAAAAAAGAACGAAGTCAGTAAAAATTCACCGTGTGATTTTGGAGAAAATAACGAGCAATCTATTGGTGACAAATTGACGCAGGTAAAAGATTCAACTAGATTATCCAGAAAGTTTTAGAATTGGGCCAAAATTAACAGAAATCATTTAAGTTTTTCAATCAGCGTCTTGCTAAACTAGCAAATGGTTTAAATCCCTACAATCAGCGAATCAAGTGTTTAAAACACTTAAAAGAACTTCTAGTTGTTAAAGTGGCCTTAAGTTTGATGCGCATGACGCTTTGAAATTTGAAAATTACTTTAAGACGGCGAAAACCCGAGGTATTAAAGTCATACATTTACGCCTACTTGCTATTATCAGTAGAAAGTATTTAGTGGGTGGTACCAGCGGTGTGCTGTCGTTAAAATGACAGGTTACGTTTACAAAAGGCTCTGATGCAGCAACTTACTTCGAGTTGTACATGATGGAATAAGCATGGCCGCCAATCTTGGCAGTAATTCGACGATTGGTGGCAAAATATGACATCTTTTGGGTCGTTTGTGTGAAACTATCTTGGTCGCTTTAATGACTAATTTGGCCACGGATACGTCGTCTCAACTACGCTTTTGTTTGACTAGAAGTCATCGTGCGATTTCAATCAACCTAGGAATACGTGGTGTTTAAATCTGACGTGTTTCAAACTTGGCGCAACATTTGACTTGGCGCGAGTGGATTCAACCTCTGCGCACACAAGTGTGCGCCGTTTTTAGCTGTCCATTCAAACAATTAATAATTAGCCAGACTTTTGCCGTTTCTAGAACAAGTTTATTGCAAACCGCGAGTTCTCGGTGATGAACCGTGGTTATAAACCGAGCCAGGTCGACTTTGTGTGAACGGGCACAGTTGTTCATTGTGTTATTTACGTGGTCAAGGTGCTACCGCCTATTCCGCATATTTACTGAACAGTCTGTCAGTATTGCACACTTTTGCAAACGGGAGTAGGCCAAAATCTTAACGGTTTTCGCCAGTGATTGGCCAGTTTCAAGGTCATTGATTGGTCATAAGAGAGAAGGGGACGAGTTGTGTCGTGTTGACGTGTAGGCAACCTGGCTACTAACCGCAAAGCCAGAGCCTGAGTTGCAAATAATGTGCCTTTTATAAGAATGAATGACGCCGAAATCCATCAGACAAGTGTTTGCTACTTGACGTGTCCACCGGATTCAAAGTAATCGATCGAACTCACAGCTGTTCAGGCCTCGTGCGAGTATTCACCATACTACTCGCCTATTTCAGCATATCTGTCGATGTGTGGTTACAAGACTATTAAAATGTGGTCTTTGAAATGTTGGAAAGCATTAATCTCTGGTGGAATTGATCACTGAATATTCGGATCGACTCGTTCAACTGCTCCTGTCTGGATGTCCGCTCCGAGATGGCATCTGTGGCTTCGAGTGGAATGCTCTTTGCATTCCAGGCGTCCAAAGGAAGCCCGCTTGCAAGTCGGTCGGACGTCACTCATAACAAAGATCTGCGAATCGAAAACTTCCTACACCGGTTATTTACGATTTCACCGTGTCCTGGCTGCGTGCGTGCACGGACAAGCGTCAGGCACGATCCGCTAGCGTAAACACGCGTATCCTGATCGCTAACAGTGAAGTTTACTAGAACGCATAAATACCATGCCAGGCGTTTCCGGGATTCACTCTTTCGTGCTTAGATCATGCGTTTAGTCATTGTCGTGGTTCTCGTGGGCCTCTTGCTGCAGGCGAACACCGCCTACAGCAGCCAGGCCGGCTGTCCACAGGGCTGCGTGTGCTTCAGCCAGTCTGTCGTCTGTCGTCGTGTCCAGGGGAACACCCTGCCGACACTGCCGTCCTACCTGCCAGATCCGAACGGCGGAGCTCTGCAGTACTTCGCGCTGACCCTCAGTAAGCTGTCCCGTCTGCCAGCAGGCGCGTTCGTTGGACTGCTGGATCTCATGAACATCGACCTGTCGAACAACGAGCTGGAGAGTGTGGAAGAGGGAGCCTTCCAGGAACTCCCGGCACTGGTGCAGCTGTCGTTGCGGCAGAATCGCCTCACCCACCTGCCAGACAACCTGTTCGACACTGTGCCTAGTCTGGAGGAGCTGGACCTCTCGTACAACCAACTTACCACAGTGCCCGCATCCCTGGAACGTCTCATCGGTCTGAAGACCCTCATTCTTCGAGGAAATCCAATCCACTGTTCTTGTGGGATAGTTGATTTTGCCCTAAAACTGCAATTCTGGGAGGGGTCTGTTGGCCGGACGGTGTGTGCGTCGCCGAACGAAGTGGCGGGCAAATCAGTGTCGGACCTAGGACGTCAGTACGTCCAGGCGTTTGAGGGCACACGTCATCTCGGCTACTGGCCCGATGAATATGTCTACCCAGAGGAGGCCAACAGGCGACCGCTGGTTCGAACGAGGACCGCCTGGCCACTCCCACAGTGCCGAGAAGGTGACCTTGGCGGGGAGACGTCAGACACCACCAGACGCCCCCTTGGACCGGATGTAGCGCCGCGATTCGTGGAAACCCCTGAACCAGCCATGGTAGCTGAAGGCGAAAGAGTCTTTTTCACGTGCCAAGCAGCTGGAGTGCCAACGCCCAAGATTCTGTGGACGCTGCCCACCAACAACTCGCAATTTATCCACCTGTGGAATAAACGAAAGGCAAGTTCATCATTCCCAACAAATACTACCTAGTTTTTGTTTAAAATGATCAAATTAACCATGAAAGCAGCAAAAATTTAAACTAACGAGGTGTTCAAACTCCGATGACTGGACTGGACCAATCAAAATGCTCGTTCAAGTTCACTTGTGATGTTGATTTTATTCGCTGTGCTCAAAGACAAACTGGCGACGAAGTTATTGCAAAACGGCAAGTTAGCGTTTAGTTGGGGACAGATTGGTTTTGATGCTAGATTTTGGAACGAATTTAATTAACACGTTGGTTTCTCGCGCTAGATTCTGGAGATACGCGAAGTGCATGGTTACCACGCTGGAACATACACGTGCATCGCGAAGAACCGTCTGGGTGAAATCGGTCACTCCGTGAGTCTGCAAATTCTTGATATCGTGAAACCACAAATTACCGACGCGCCATCGGCTCAGACAATGGCTGGGTACGCGGGCAGTGACGTAGAGCTCGTTTGCACAGCGCGTGGACGTCCGCGACCCACAATCGACTGGCTCTACACCCACGCGACGTCGGCTAAGCGTCTTTCAACGCAGGGTCGCTATACCGTGCACAGCGCCAAAAAGCTGTCCACCCACACCATTCAGGACCTCGTGAGCCGGGATCCTCTTGCGCAGAATGACGAAGTCACCCGTGCTGAAGGCGAGGAGGAGTCGGTTACGCTGACCATCCGCAACGTCTCAGAACACGACACGGAGGGACGCTACACTTGCTATGCTGCGAACCGCGCTGGTTCAACACGCGTTACGTCTGTCGTGAGCTTGAAAAAGGCGCGAGACGAGGAAAAAACGTCAAATTGGATGGAGGATGGACGTGCAGTGGGCATGACAACGGACTCTTCATCGATCGAGGCGGAAAGCAGCGAGGGTGAGTCAGACGAGGATCTGGTGAAGCGGGTGATCGAAAAGGCCCGACGCCGGATCGACGCAGCAATTCAGAAGACCGCAGACAACCTCAGAGACCCCTCAAACCGCAGAACAGCTTCCGACATCGCCTCGCTATTCCGTCAACCGAGTAAGGCCGCGATCGAGTTGGCGAGAGCTGCGGAAGTCTACGAGGCAGCGATAGATGAAGTGACGCAGATTCTCCAACGACAGAGGAACAAGTCTTTGGGAAAAGACGAAGAGGGCGCCTACAAAGGCGACGAGGATTTTGACGAACACAAAAGACTAGCGATGGGGGTTCAACTGACTACCGAGCAGCTAGCCATCATTGCGCAACTTTCAGGCTGTGCTCAACCGCAACGCGTCGAACCGTGCGACCGTCAGCTGTGTTTCCACATGCGCTACCGGTCTATCGACGGAAGCTGCAACAATCTCAAGTTTCCCAAATGGGGCTCTGCATTATCGCCGTTCTATCGACTGCTGCCCCCGGTCTACGAGAATGGTGTAAACCAGCCAGTTGGCTGGAACCCTGAGAGACTTTATTTCGGCTACCCAAAACCCTCAGCTCGTCTTGTTTCATACAGGCTACTGGGAGACGCGACAAAGCTTCAGGTTCATACACGAAAGTGAGTACACATTAAAGTGTGCAATTTCAGCGGCTTTTGGTCAATTATGTAGGGTTTTTGCTGCAGATGATTATATTTTAGCCTAACTTATTATATTGGCTAACCGATGAGAAGAACAGGACAAAGTAGTCTAATGTTATTTGGATTTCAAAAAAAGAACAGATTGCTACCCGCGGAAACTTTTGGCGTACTTTCAGTCAGAAATAATCAAATATTTAATGCTTGATTCAAAACCCCTGCATGAATTGCTTCGATTATCTGGGAATCATCAGTACGTTCAAAGGAATGACCCGAAATCCACACGCTTTTAATGCCCTCAATCCTCCCGAAATGTCACAAAGCACTAGCTAAATTGGTATCAGTGGCAAGACACTGTTAAATTAGTTAAAAATAAATACGATAATTAATTTTGATAAAAATACGAATGTTACATGATCTAAACAATTTGTTTGTCAATGGGCAGTGATGAAAATTGACTAATCTGTTCCATTTTTTGCCTATTCTGCAGACTTCAGACCTTCAACGAACGCATAAAGATGTCTCTTAAGTTTAACAATCGCACTTATGGCACTTCTAATCCATTTGACGTCCCTCGCATTGGTGAAGAAGAAAAAGAAGACTTTTTCGACGAAGATGACACTTCCTCGGGCATGCTGATGCAGTGGGGCCAGTTTTTGGATCACGACCTCGATTTCACGCCCGTGGATGCCTCCACCAGTCGCTTCAGTGATGGTCTTGGTTGCAACGAGACCTGCATCAACGATCCCCCCTGTTTCCCCATCATTACTCCGCCTGGCGACCCACGAATCCGCCAGCGATGCATCGGGTTTGCGAGGAGTTCGGCCACGTGTGGATCAGGCTCGACTTCGATCCTTCTGGGCAAACCACAGCATCGCGAGCAGCTGAATCAAATCACCGCCTTCATCGACGCCTCTAACGTCTATGGCAGTGAGGAGTTCGAGAACTCGCAGCTGAGAAACACGCTTTACGACGAAGGTCAGTTGAGAGGGGGCATGCCAACGCCATCTGGCAAAAAACTACTGCCATTCAATATTCGCGGACAGGTGAGCATTCACTCATTTGTTCATCAATTAATCTGATTTATTTACAGGGATTGAGCTGCTTACCTGCTTATTCTGCACGAATAGCACTGTCAGCATTGGCTGGTTGTGTCAGCCCACCGGGATTGGTCTAAAATATCGATTTACCTTCCTCGAGTGCAGTCGTCCTGCTTGCAGAATGGGCGGCCAATCAAATGCGGATAACCTATCGATCGGTGACACATGCGCACACGCGCATGTAGAGAACAGACGTTGAACAGCATGTTCGCATGGTGTAGCTAGTGTGTTTTGTGTGTGTGTGTGTGTGTGTGTGTGTCAACACTCCGCTTAATGTCTATTTACAGGTGACTGAACAGACGTTAAGGTTGGCAAAATTTTTTTCCAAAAAAATTTACAAAATGCGGTTCAAGTTTCCGTAGTTATTGAAATTAGAAAAGAAGATTGTCAAAATTTGAAGTTGGAAGGCGCATTTACTTTGCATTGTCCCGACAAATAATTAGTAAAACTGACTAGAGAACTTCGTGTTAAAGCTACATCTAACGCCGCCATTTTAACCTGATGCGTAAAACATCCGGGAAATATGGTAACTTGCAAACTTTTCAGATGTTTGAAATTGCGATGAGGGTGGACAATTTTCCCACCTTTTTTGCGATAACATACCACTTAGCAGGAGAGCGGAGACCTTTACGTGGGACGAAAGCGATCCCAAGAGAAAAAAACACTTTGTTAGTACCAAATACACAAACGGACATGTATTAAAATTGTTCCGATTCTGTGATTGGGCTGAGTTGCTTCCGTTTGTGGTAGAATGATCCTTTGTGAGTCAAAATCGGCAATTTGTTTCTTTAAGGTGGACTGCCAAGCCGATCCCCAGCAAGATTTCGTGCCCTGTTTCAAAGCCGGTGATCACAGAAGCAACGAGAATCTAGGCTTACTCAGCATGCACACAATTTGGATGCGAGAACACAATCGAATTGCGGATGAGTTGCGTTCATTGAATCCTCATTGGTCGGGTGACAGAATCTACCACGAGGCCCGCAAGATTGTCGGGGCTCTGATGCAGTCGATCACTTACCGCGTCTGGCTTCCAAAGGTCCTGGGTCCACGGGGTATGGAGATGATGGGAGGTGATACCTACACCGGCTACGACAGCTCCGTCAACCCGACCATCAGCAACGAGTTTGCCACCGCGGCTTTCAGGTTCGGACATACTCTAGTTCCACCGATTTCCTTCCGACTTAACGAAAACTGGGAAGCGATTCCCGAGGGCCATCTTCTGCTTCACAAGGCCTTCTTCGCTCCCGATCGGATGCTCACAGACGGTGGAATGGACCCCATTCTGCGGGGTCTCCTGTTTCATGGCGTTCGAGATATTGTTCGCAGACCTTCGCTCAACCCAGAGCTCACTGAAAGACTCTTCGCCATGGCGCACCAATTAGCTCTCGATCTGGCGTCCTTGAATGTCCAGCGTGGTCGAGATCACGGCTTGCAGCACTACACTGCGTACGCCTACAAGGTCTGTGGTCTTGGAAGCTCCGCTGCTCCGGACTCCTTCGACGATCTCGCCGACAGAATCCGCGACCCCGCCATCCGGGAAGAATTACGCGCCGTCTACGGTCACCCGGGAAACATCGATCTCTTCGTCGGTGGCGTATTGGAAGACGTCATGCCAGGAGCGCGCATGGGTCCAACGTTCGCCTGCATCATCGCTGACCAGTTCAAGAGATTGCGATCCGGGGATCGACTCTGGTACGAGTCGCCTGGACTCTTCACAGTCGCCCAACTAGCTGAAATTCGCGAGGCTGGTAGTTTGTTGTCTCGCGTGGTTTGCGAAAACGGCGACAACATCACTGAGGTGCCGTTAGACGCGTTTTTAAGACCGAAAAGTCGGAAAGACCTGGTTCCGTGTTCTCAAGTGCCGAAGTTGAACCTGGCTCTTTGGAAAGAGTGTCCATCGCCAAGTGGCACACCCTTCGGCTCCTACAGTGACATCGGCCAGTACTTCGACGAGCCACTAAGCAGACGTCGTCGTAGCGCGCCAGTGGAAGGCACCTGTGACGCTTCAGTCCCAGAAATGTCGCAAATTATGGAAGAGATGGAACAAGAGGTCGACGCTCGCATCAAACTGCGCGAACATCAACTTGAACGCGCTAAACGAGGACTGTAGGTTAATCACTGAATTGGTGGACTTTAGTGTCACCGAAATTGCTAGTGACTAATTAAAATTCATTCCAATTCCCAACTCAAGGTGGTGTCTGGTTATTTTCTAGTTATGACGACGCAGTGCACGAAGACCTGGCAGACGAAATTGGGCATGGTTTTTGAATATTGTTGTTATCATGGTTGGTGACCATGACTTCATTGTTAAATCCATTAAAACACAACACAAGTCTACAATTTAATGCAGCTTTAATCAAAGCGGAACTGATTAACATGCTGACGGTAACAGACGATGCCAACAACTTCCAATAAACACAATTTAATAATCACAATGTGTCACCAGTTGTCACAATCGCACAAATTTATCCAACTACATTAAACGGATTGAGCAATGCATATACCTACGCGCCATAATTACACAAATCGACTAATGATGTTAACTGCGGCAGAATTACCGGTTAAACAACACAGCGAATCACCTTCCTCAAGCACAATCAGATGAACTATGAGGCAGTTCGCGCATACTCAAAACACTTAACGGAAAAAAGGAGTACGTAAAACAACTGACCAATCAAGAGAGGGCGGGAAATTTAACAATTGGCTGTTCGAATTGTACCAGGTGTGCGAATGTGCAATGTCTTGTTTAAATTCGTGATCGCATAAACCTGCAAACCTGAAGTATATAATTTTTTCCCTTATGGTGTCTAATGTAGCGGAATCACCGTTCAAACATGACTGTTAGTCACTTCTTTGCGCATATTTGAAGCACTTAACTACGGAAAGGGTAGCCAGAAGACTGACCAATCAAAAGCAACCGGGAAATTTGATAACGAGCTGTTTCAATATCGAGTCGAATTATGCACTATGTCAGGTCACTTCATGTATTATAAATAAGGTTATAACGCAGGGGTATTCTGGGTTCGGGAAACAGCTTTTTTGACTCCCCTCTAACCGGATAAATGCGCGGGTCAGGTCCCTAGTTTTCGTTTGCGGAAACAAGTCTTTGAAAAACCGACAGGCGCACAAAACTCTCACGAAACATAATTTCTGCGCAGGTGCAAATTTATGACTATTCGCGGGGCTTCGGTGTGAACGGGTGGAGGGTGCGGGGAATGGAGAGGGAGTTTGCACATTTTGTGGTTTATTCCGGCTCTGTCAAAACTCAGTGTTGGTGGTAAAGCTTGGCAGATACAGCCCATGCTTCCATCACGCCTAGAGCTTACTTTGGTGCTCAAGTTTGTGGTGATTCGCGATACCGTTTATATTTTGTAAAATTTGACACGTTAACATTTGTAAGATCCTCTGAATTGGGCTGGAATCCTGCAGTATATTTCGTAGAGGTTGGACAGCAGGTATTTCATCGTGGAAAAAATGAACTTTTGGTGAGGTCAGCGTTCATATAAATGATCCATTTTGAGATTCGGGATCCTGATGAAATTATTAATGTGTGTTAAACAAAAAAATGTTCGATTAGTGAACCAGTTCTCTACACTTTGAGACAGTCCGATTTGTCAGGTGAGAAATCGGAAGTCTACCAAGGCATTAGAGGGTAATTTTTCAATTCAATCGGCTAAAATTTACGCAGACTAATCCACACTAGAAGCTAAATTAAATGAAATGTCACAGTGACGAGTTTATAGCATCTGCGGTCTCTCATCAGGCACTGCAAATCTTCCGACAAACAAGACTTCGGAAATCACAATAAGGGTTTTGTAGTACCATTGTGGTTCTACCTAGTTCTACACAATCTTAAAAATATAATCGACTTACACAAGCATGAAATTGGAAGTCTGTCAAGGAATCAGAGGGCAATTATCAGTGCAACCGAATATTATAGGCTGCGTGGCTTAATTTGTAGAGTTTCTGCAAAGTTATTGAGTATAAGCATAGAGAACAACTAAATTAATCTTGAAAATATTGTCTGCCGTTGTCGATGACCTTGCACCATCTCTTACGAATGCCGTTGCGAAAGAATCTCGCAGGATTCGAGGCAATAAAGTCATCGTCGACAAATTTACGCACATCGTCCAACGTCGTGAACTGTTTATTCACTAAGGCGAGCTGCTGTTGCATTGACCGGAACAAGTAGGTGGTCTGATGGGGCCAGGTTTGGAGAACTTCCCATCCCAAATTCCTGAGGATCGCCTGAGTCGCTCGAGTAACGTGAGGCGGTCAAGTGTTATCATGCATCGTCGGCAGAATGACTTGCATGCATCCTTGGCCAGCAAAAATGGCCTTTTTTCATCAAGTTCTTGGCCTCGTTTGTTCAACCGTCGCCTGTGGTATTCCCCAATCAACGCCCGACCAGTTTCCAGAAATTTGTAATAACTCACACCGTCCATGTGCCACCAGATCCACAGGAGAACCTTCTTCAAGTGGATGTCCTGTTTCGGCGTCAATATATTGGGTTTCCTAGGATTTACCCACGACTTTTAACTTTTGGGATTCTCGTAAAAATATATTTTTTATCATCTGCCACAATTTTTTACAAGAAGCCTTTTTTCTTGTTAACAGGTAAGCATCGAAAGACAGTGGTAATACGTTAACCTGAGTTGTGTTCGGTCGACACATGTGAGACCCAACATCCGAGTTCTGGAATTTTTCCAGTTTGGTGGTGTCAAGCTTGGAAATGGGTGCTTGGAAGACTCCTAACTGAGCTGCAGGCTCCTGTTGCGTTTGCGTTGAGTCTTCATCCAGTAGAGCTTGCACTTCCGCATTTTCAAACACTCGAGGCTATTGCCCGCGACGCGACTGGTCAATAAGATCAAAATCATCACTTCTGAAACGCTTGTACCACACCTTCCACGCTTCATAAGACACAATGTCGTCACCAAGAACACAAAAAATTGATTCCCGTGCTTTCAAAGCCTTTTTCCTTATTGTTGGAATTCGTCTAACCTGCGGTGCCATCGAATGTGCTGTTTATTAGTCGTCGTCGTCGTCCTCAAAGCTGCTAATCTGAGAGGTTATGCAACTCACGTAGACTTGTCGTTTAGCGCTCTGAAACCTTGTGTCCGAGCCTTTCAAAATCCCAAAAGACCGCAAAAATTCTCCCATTTTAAGTGTAATTTTGAGCTAGAAGAAAACATCTGTACGCAAGCTAAGATTTCTAATAGTTTGTCTACCCCATCAGGCACTCCAACTCTGCTGCAAGCCAATAACAGACTAGACCTTAGTGTAGCGCGCGCAGATTTCGGCACATTTACCACAAACGCTTCCACTGATTGGGAAATCGTAAGTGGGCTGCTGTGGTTCCATTGTGGTTCTGTCTAGTCCTGCACATCGTTCACAGCACTGTGGCGTTATTTTATGATGGAACGATGGTTTAATGGGCAAATAACGAGGAGGCAATTATCGGCGTTGATACACACACACACACACACGCAACTGTTCAGGACTTACTCGGTGGATATAAAAGGCTTCGTTGGATGACCTTACCTAGGCCCCTTGCCCTCCCCCGGGCAAGTCGGCTAATAAAAGTGGCAGGAAGATTAAAGGGTGCCGCGTGGTAGTTTGTGGAAGGCTAAAACTTGGACGTATTCACCTGACCTAGCTATTAATTATTCTATCCCTTTGCTAGGTCATGCACCACTGATGATATCGCTCTGGCCAGCTCGACTGTGTCTATCAACCGCCCAAACCAGCGCTGTTTTTTCACGCTTCACGGTAGACGAATCCAACACCAAGAGAAGTACGCTATGACCGTTTATTAAAGATACTCAATAGGTTTCAAGTAAACAGCTCAAATTTATGCCCACACCCCTAGTCACAGACGCATTCAATGGTGTTTCTCTACCGACACGGGACAGAAGGAGGTAGGTGAGTGGGTGGGTGGGTGGGTGTTGGGATGGAACTGGACGCGAGCCCTCAAGCACAGCCTTCACAGCTTAGACCGCCAGTTTGGTACGAGAGCCCACTGTCAGTGACGCCTGGGGAGACACTACTTGTGCTAGACGAGGGAGTGGCCTGGTCGTAGAAGCCAATGGTGCTTTGACGCTGCGGTAGCAAATGCTGGCCCAGCAGTCCCCCGTACACCTGACCCGTGTTCCACGTGGAACTCCCGTCGAAGCCGGGCTCCAACCAGGTTGTCCGTGGCTGTGGCGGGGTGTACCATGAGTGAGGACTCGCAGGTGTATAGCCGTGCCAGACTGTCGGCTGCTGACGCTGCTGCTGCTGCTGCTGCTGCTGCTGCTGCTGTCGATGTTCAATGCTACTGCTCGCCTCCGCCTCGAAGGCGTCTTCGGACGTACGATGGGAATTCTCGAAGTCCACATACGAAGGTGGCGTGATGTAGGTCTGGCTGACTACCGGATTGCTAATTGGCTGGTCAAGGCCTTTTTCCTGCAGCTGTCGTTTTAACTTGTAGCGCCGATTTTGGAACCAAATCTTCACCTACAACAAAATCGCCGAATGAGTTAGCTGAACTGGATCGCTGGAAGTCGTGAAGTGGTGACAAAAACACAGACTGACATGGAAATAACCTGTTTTGCAGAATGACCCGATAGCAGCAATAAACACCGAGGTCACCTGTTCTTTTCGTGCCTCAGTGGCCCGATAACATTTAACTTTCATCCAATTAATACCCACCGTGCGGGCAATAAAAAAAATTATGTGGCTGGCTGTGTGTGTGTGCTGGCGTCAGATGACCACACTAGAGTGACATTTCGCCTGCCGTAAATCCAGTGTTTCAGTTAGTGGGTCGTCATCAGCACGTCTAAACCGCGAATTTGTAAAAAAAAAGCCACAGCTGAGAGTGAGTGCGCAGGTGTTTAGAAGTGCCTACTTCCAGAGTGTTACACAATGAGGCAGCCATGCGTGAGGATTTACATCATAATTAGTCATGCGTCCCACAGCCCCCACCACCCCCTCCCCCTCCTCCACAACCCCCCCTGTGGTGTGGGAGGTACACTTGTTAGCGGGTCCCATACGGAGGAAGGGGAGGCAGATGTCACCTGGACACGCAAGGAGCAGTTGTGTCCCGTGTGTTTGTGGGGGAGGGAGGGGGAGGCCCAAGCCTTTCAAATGAACATGCCGTGGAGGTCGGGATTTGGGGGAGGAGGAACAGGCGGATTAATTTCAGTAAGTCCTCTTTTTGACAGGAGGAGGCCTATTTAAACTTGAAAGGCCTAATCACGCACGACCTTATGACTTTTCGTGGATTATCATCGTGTCAAAGGTGTCGTGAACACACTTCTCCTACCGTGGTTGCGCTGAACTGTACCGTCATGTTACTGACAAAACCAACTATTACGTAATTAGCTTCCACCAGATGTTCTCCTAATGTTTAGTATTCGAAGCTGAGTTAGTGGAAGCAAGCAAATTTAAACAAACACACAAGCCAATCGGTGCCTCAAACTGAACTAGCGCTCGCAGTGAACACAAATCACTAACTTCATGACTACGACTCCCTACCAGAATTATCGATTTGCTAATCGTTAGAACTCGGATCGATGAGGAGATGGATTTGACAGGCAACATGACAGACGCATTGGCACAATCAAACGCCGATGCTGACTTCTGTCAATCAGTTCGCTAATCACCCAACCTGTCACATGCGAACGCCGGGTTTGAAGGATAGGAACCATCACACCAGCCAATCAAATTAGCCGATTGATTGCTTTTCGAATGTTCCTTCTCTTAGTTACTTCGGCAAATGTTTTAATAAATGGATTTCGAACTGCGCTGTGGTGTGATCATCACACATACACACGCGTACAATCACCATCCATGGCTTGGCCACGATAATCTTGAAAAGTAAACACACCCGTCGACGTATTCTCAGACTACCGTGTTCGCGACTCGTGTTTGTTCTCAAACACACACACACACACGCACACACACAATTTTTGGAGGTGGGTTAGAGGTGGAAGTGTCAACAAATGCAAAGGTCAAAAGTAAACGTTTACCCGCGAAAACACATGCACACGCGTACACACACACACACAGGAAGTATTTTGAGTAAGCTGTGTCACACTTGAGCCAAAACTGATTTTTTTTCAGTGTGCGCTCTTGTTTGAGCTTAAAAAAAACACGCCACCAACAACCGGCTATTTGCGTGATTAGGGTCTAATTGTAGAGGTTTTTTGCAGTCAAACTTCAAAGGGACAGTTATGAGACTACCGGTTTCGAAGTCGTTCCAGACTCCTGTTTGGAAATCGTGGGACCCGTTGTGGCATATTCAACAGTCAACTCAAAACAGACTCGCCCTTGAATGCGAGCTAGCGACCAAATACGGCGATTGTTTAAAAATGGGCAAACGCTAGCAGCTGTAACTACTTGCCAACATGTGAATAGATGATCCTAACTGTGGGATGGCATAGGAGTTGATTAGGACAATATTCAAACCTGTTGGGAGGACATCTTCAAGTGCAGAGCAAGTTGTTCTCGCTCAGGCGCAGAGAGGTAGCGCTGTTGGTTGAACCTCTTCTCTAGTTCGTAGACCTGGGCCTGCGAGAATAGGATCCGTGGTTTCCGCTTCGACGGAGACCTGGAATGGTTGTGGTGGTGCTGTTGCTGGTGGTGGTGACTGTGGTTGTGGAGGTGGGTGTGTGGTGTGAGTCGCTGGCGCTGTTGCAGTGGTGGGCATCCACTGGACGTCTTCTTTTCCTCTTCCTCCTCATCCTCATCCTTCACGTCTCCGTCGTCGTCGTCGTCATCGTCTTCGTCGCCGTCGTCCCTGTCCATATCCACCTCATTCCGCTCCGCCATTTCGTGCGGTTTACTTTGGTAGTCGTGGTTGACAGGCGAAATGTAATGGCATTCTGTAAATTAGGCATATAGAACGATCCATTATCGATTAGTTTGGGTGTGAGTAATCGATTTTGACGATCACCAATCGACACTGGGTTAGTTCCTAGGAATGAGGCATTCATTAAGCCAGTCTGATTTCAGCTATTGTCAGGATTCAACATAAACCCGGCCCTTCGAACCTGAAACCAACATTGCTGCTCAAGAGTAAAAGGTTACTGCGTCTCTTTCTTCCCCGTTGTGATCATAGCCACCACAAGTATCAGCATCATCGCGTGCTGCTACAAGGACACACGCTAAAGTGCACCAGCGCGTTGATTTACAGCCCCTCACAATTGGTGTTGTTGCCAAGCCATGAAAAATGAGGTTCACACTAACTGGGGTAAGTTTTTAATGGGCGGTCTTGTGTGTGTGTGTGTGCGCACGCTTGAAGACAGCAAAATGCCATTCACCAAGTTGATTTTTCACACACACACACACAGAACTACGGCCTATTACCTCACGCCCACACGACGCAGCCGTAACCCATTTTTTATGTCCGGCTGACACGGGAAAGCCGCCAGCTCCCCCACCCCCCATAGCGCCAACAAAAGAATATGCCAACTTCGGTAAAGAAGGAAATTTATGCGTTAAGGCGTTGTTTTAATCCCGCAACTTTTGTTTGAATAAACAACTGTGGAGGGCGGGAAATTCTAGGCTTAGATTGCAGTGCAACTTTCACACACGTGGAAATGCAGCGAGAAACGGCTAGTGCCAAGTCTCCATGGAAAATTGGAAGACAACAATCTAATCGTCTTGGGACTGGATGGTCTCAGTGGAAATTCCACTCTTCCACGGTACTACAACTACTTCAAATGCGATTTCTTGATAAAATTGTTCAACTGTTAGGAAAGACGATTTGCGAAATGCAATAAGGACACGGAAGTGACTTACTTTGTTCGTTTTCGACAAGGGTTTCCAGATCAAAGTCGGTGGTGTTCACGAAGCCCGGCGGCGCGACAGTCTGGTAGTCCCAGGGTTGTGTCTGGTTGGGTTCCTTCGCACTAATTGAGGTGTACGGCACGTGCTCGCTCGCAGTAAACCATCCACAGCGACTGTAGTAAGTCATTGGCAGGTTTTACATGCCTACAATGTCTCGCTGGCTATTTATAGGACGACACAGCCTACGCAAACAAACCGCGCGTTCTGATTGGCTGATGGCCTCCCATGTCGCAGCACGCGCGCACTTTAACACGCGCCAACGCTGACGACATGATTGAAAACCACCCCCCCTCCCCCACACACAAGGCCTCCACCCTCACCGCCCACCCCCTTTGAAGCCAGATCCGCAAGCTCTGAGCGCGCCAATCAAATTGCGCCTGATGGCGCCTTGCCAGAATTTTGACAAAAAACGTACTTCTTAGATGGAATAGGGGCCCTCGCCATTCATCACCATAAAATTTTGCTGTCCGGATTTTGGGCCAGTTCACATGGCGTGGCGACTTGCACGAGTTGCGGACTGACGCCCACGCTGAACAGTGGGAAGACATGGGAAACTCATTTTTAATTCTGCCTACACATCGCCACCAAGGCAACATCACCCACACAGTCACTATAGAAGCATTCTGTCTTAGACCACCGTCAGTGATTTTACAGACTTCAGATTCAATTTGACACGGTACATATAGTCACAAAATCTTGTAGTTCCAGGAAAGACCAGAATGATATCTTCGTGGTGTTCGGCAGACAAATCTCGGTATCTCGAAGGACCACAAGACGACTTAAAAATGACCAGGTTCACAAAGGCCCGATATCGCAGAACGAATCACACCCTTCAGGCATGCAGTCATTGCATCGATTTCTTAAACCTTTACAAGTAACCAAGGAAGCGTGAAC